TGCAACCTTCTAAATAAAAATTGTCAATTTAAAAAAAAAAATGTGTCATAGGTTATTTTCCAGTTAAATATTTGTTTGTTTTGCACTGGATTTTGCTGCTGAGATAGCATTTGTACGGGCTCTTTGTATTTTTTAGTTTAAGTGGTATTTTTTTAAACTAATAGATCATTTTTCCACTTTTGTTTTTCAAGTTTATTTTTTCCCCCTACTTTTTGTTTTTCTTAGCATGTTTTTGAGTGGTTTTGTTTTGAATATGTTGTGACCTGGAATGGAACTGTGGTGCATTTGATCATAACCCCATCTAGTGAATCAGTGGTTATATCTATGATGCTGTTTATGATAGGGCTGATTATAATGTGTAGCACCAATTTCCATTAAAGGTGAAGAGGGTCTTCATTTTATGTGCAATTAGTTATGTGCTAGCTTGTCATTGTATTACCCCTGAAGAGGGAGCGATGTTTGCTCCTAAACAGATTGTGGACTATTAAAGGTTACATATTTAATTTGGAATCATTGATCTCCATATGCACTCAAGGTTTTGTTTTTACAGCCTGGCTGCCACAGTGCACAATGTGTTTTATCTCAGCCATAAATTAAGGTGAGCACTATAACCCTATTTGAATATATTTGTGAATCTACTGGTACTCTTAGAGGTAATACAGTTCTTTGTATATTTTCAGTATCACTTCATTCCATATAGCAGGGCTAACATGGGGACAGCCTTGGAGGACTAATTTTGAAAAAAATAGTGTTATTAAACAACTTTGGGGTTTCTATTGCTTTGGACATTTTTTGAGTAAGGTCTATTTCAAATCACCCCTCAATGAAAGGTGAAAAAAATGCAGTCTGAGAAATTGGCTTTAATATAGGGGTAATACACCTTAATATAATGCCACCTGGTGCAACACTTCTATTTCATATTTGAGGCAGCCTTTTCTGGATATATTTCCTATAGACTATACACTATGTATATTGCTGTAAATGGTTCCCTTTTTCATATACTACCATATGCATGTGTTGAATTGCCGCTCCAAGAATTTAAATAGCCTTACTTTGTATGTTTCTACTCAATTGGGTCCTACAGGGACTCCTAGTTGAGAAAATCTGTACTTTGTTCCCTAGTATATGCACTTAATTCAAATGAAGGTATCATTAATCCAAAGCAAGGGAATATCTTTACTGCAGATTTATAATTATTTGATTGATAGAAAAAGGTTGTAGAAAAATAGCCAAAATGTAATCCAGTTTCTTAAGACTGTTGATTCCTGGATGAAGCTCAGACTTTTCCCTACTTGACCCCCAGTACGTGAAAGCTGAAGTAAAATTCAGTGCAGCAGAGATACTGTGGATTTACTGCTCCAAATGTATAACTGCAGTCAAGTCAACCAGAGCAGGTTATAATCTATTGTGTCTATTGTCCTTAACAATCTTGTACCGCTCTTAGGAACAGCATGGGTTAGGCCTTCTTTCTTTCTCTATATAAACGTTCAGTACAGAGCTCTCAAGAGCTAGAATTCGGGAGTAATACTTCATCTTTAGAAACCCCATCCTCAAAAGGCTCTAGAATGTTGTTGATATTTATCAGTTTCTGAGACAGCCCTCTGGAAATAAACATCTCAGGGAATGGCCAGCTGATGACCCTGACACAAAACCCTTGCATTTCTGACATCTTCTGTTGAACTATCTTAAAAATAAATCCTTAATCACAGCTTAAATGAGGAAGCTGAAAGAGACTTTACAAATCTAAAAACAAATACAATATTAAGTAGACACTAAGGAATCACATTCCTACAATTTTACATTTACAAAAAAACTATAAAAATAAAGTCAAATGAGCAGAATTTCCAGCAGCTTAGGCTGAAATTATCCTCTCCGACAACATGTTTCATACATATAACATGTAAAGTATACATGTATCTAAAAATCAGTATACTTAGTTTCTACTAACAAACTTTTGGATTACCTTTAGGTTATCTGGCAGCTCTGCTCTTCCTGCATATCCAGGATTCATAGTAATAAATACTGTGCATGACGAGTCCAAACATATTTCAGTACCTTCAAACACAAAGGTCTGCACCTGTTCTGATATGGCACGTTGAATGGTCTGAATTTGCTGGGCAACTACAGAAAGCACCTAAAGGATCAACAAAGGGATGATTTACAATACTGTCTTTTTATAGCTTTTATACTGAAGAAAACGTTGAAACCCAATTGAAGTCCAACACCTATTTTTCTCTTTATAGTTCTGTACTTTCTTAAAATATTTTCTCTTAGTGGAAATGTGCTTCCTTCACTACAACTTCAATTCTGAGAAAGAGATGGTCTGACCAGGTATGTTAGAATATGGAGTGCACTGGGCAAAATGGTCAAACTCTGGTGTCTATTGGACTGTATGGTCATATTTAGACATATTGTCTAACTGCTGTAACAGACAAGGTTATAAGCGATTAAAAATAAGGGTTGTTAGTATCTATTTATCTATCTATCTATCTAGATATCTATCTATCTATCTATCTGTCTATCTATCTATCTATCTATCTATCTATCTATCTATCTATCTATCTATCCAAACAAATATTTATTTCTGTGACTTCTGTTGGGTTTTAGAGATGGTATCCTTAGGTTGTTAAACCTATTTTCCCATTATCTATTATAAGAGGTATTACTGAACATCTCTAGGCCTTTGTGCATGTAAACTAGGCTTCAAAACAAACCAGTGAGCAAAAGGATTTCTACATTTAAAAAAAATACAATGAAAATTCCATTGGTGCAATTTTATGTAAAGAGACAGTCATAAAAGATCATAGCTGAAGCTCCAGAGATAATGGGTTTAAGAGCAATATGGTAAATTTGACAACATGAAATCTATGGCAAATGGCACTTCAGACAACATGGCACCACAAGATACATGGCTCAGGTAATGTGATTGTAAAATAAGTGTTTATTAGGTAAAGTATGCTAACACTAAAAGCCCATCTCAGGTTATATTTTCTCTGAAATTATCACTCAAGAGGTTAAAATGAATTGCAGCTGAGGACATACTGAGAATGCAGAGCTCCCTTAAGTTCACCTGCTATGCAGATTCTACACTTGTTCTGGGTAAGGGGATCAACCAATACTCTAGCAATAAAAATAAGTATGCCAGTCTTTTTCACGATGGGTTCCTTTTAAACCCCCCAGAAAAGTTGAAATAGATTTAGAATTACTGTCACTTTTTTATTCCAGTGTCTGATTCCCCTTACTTCTTGTCCTTGTGAATCCAGAACAAGAAATTAGAGGAATATATGTTTGGGGACAGGAAGACACATGCTACATTAAAATCTTCACAGACATTCTTAACCGTATCCACTCTAAATATTGTCTTTTATATTCCTGTTCCTATTGAAGACAGACCCCATTATTTTCATAATTTTCCCAGTGACATCCACTTTTTGGAACAGGCAGTAAGAAGAAACATCTTCAATGAGTACACAAAAATCTAATAGAAATTCTAACCCCATCCACAATGTAAATCTGAAAGAAAAAAAAAATTCTGGAGTTGTGCTTAAAGAGCTTGTATTTGAGAAATGATGATGAGCTAGTTCTATCGTCATGGCAAACATAACACAGTAAAATTTTTAAAGGATGTGAAACATAAAGAGAAGGTCGCCACTCCTATATGCAGCATTGAAAACCTGGCACTTTATTCAATAACTCTTAAAAGCAGCATAGCAACTGCTACGCATTTCAGACTAACAATAGGTTTGACAAAGGATATGTTAGTCTGAAACACATAACAGTGACTATGTTGCTTTTAAGAGTTGCTAAATAAAGTTCTAGTTTTACAATACTACATGCTGGAGTGCCAACCTCCTTGTGTTTGATGTCATGAACGGAGGATCACAGTGTGAGTACACTGCTTTCAGAATGGAGAGGGAGGCTTAGCAGGGGAGCTGTTTCTGCTTGTTTCTAAACTTTATCTTTTACTAAATTTGCTCTACTTATTACAGTGATACAAGCAAAACACGGATAAAACAGAATTAACTCTGCAATTGCTCCTTAGAGTTCCCAGACCCAGCATATGGATATTTCATGATACATATGTAAAGTATTATATTTGACATTTGGTATTTTATAGTATTGGGAAGGTAGCCATATCCAGCATTATGCACTGCCATTCTGGTCCTCCACTGGGGACCATCTTGAATTGTGTTTAATGAATGTATTTTATTATTATTTGGGGCAGTCTATAAGAGTAATTAATTGAGTAGTTTATTCTGTTTTGCTTGTAGCAGTAAATTATGTGGAATTCACAATCCTACAAAGCAACTAATCCTAAGAAGCAACTTATGTTCAGCAACATCCAGAACAAAAACCTCTAATTAATTTGAACTTGGTTTATGAGATGCCAAGCATGTGGTACATTGATATAGTAATTACAGCTGAACATACACATATCAATCAGTCCTAGATTTAAACATTTTAACCAATCTAATATATTTTTTTGCTGAACCATAACAAGCTTTATTGATGCCAGATAAGGCTAGACAGACATTTTCACCCCAGTCAGATGTGAGTCCACCCTCTAATGTATTTCACCCAATCGGTTTATTCATTAGAAAAAACCTAAGAGGGTTATTCATGAAGGAGCCGAGGGATCTAGCCGTAGCTTTGGCTGATCCTTCGGCTCACTTTGGCCGCTGGATCCCTTCGGTCGAACTGAAGGGCTGCTGTATGGGCTATTCACAATAGCCCGGACAAGACCTGAAAGAAGCCAATCGGCTCAGCCAAGCCGAACGCATATGCTTTGTCTCAGCTGAGCTGTAGTCACAGCCGAAGCGGGGAGAATGATCTGTCGAATTAGATTGTTTTCCCCACAAATGACAACAGCTGGGAGATATCATGGCTAGTTCCACCAAGTTGTTGTCATTCAATGACAGCCCAGCGTCCTCAGGTTATTTGACCGCCCAGTCATTTACATTTTTCCGGGACCTGCGGAAAGAATCTGGCACAGCATGTTCAGCTGACCGAAGCCAGCCAAAGGCAGCCAATATACGGCTGATTTTAGCCAATGTAAAGCTGGAATCAGCTGTACAGAGCCAAAGCGAATAGCTGAACGCTGTTCGGCTCAGTTCACTTTGACTCGGTTATTCACTCGGCTGCCTTTGGCAGATTAGTGAATGACCCCTTAAGCCTAAAATGATTGTCCAACACAGAAAAGGAAAGACTAATCTGGTTGAATTGAATCTAATTTCTACCAGACCCAATTGTTTTGATCTCATACTACCTGAGTTAACATCCAAATGACTGGTATGTTGATTGATCATATAATTAGCTGTGTGGGCAGCATTGTCCATGGAATTCAGAGTTCCTTATAATGCTACATTTCAAGGCCACCAAGCTACACTAAGCAGCACATAAAAGTACTCCATATATTACTTGTAATAACAATGATGGTACATTTAAAACTAAAATAAATGTAGGTGCTTGCATGTACATCAGAGCTCCCAAAAAAACCCATAATACAAAGAGCTCTACTATGCAAATAACACGTTTAGTTCTAGAATCTAAGGTAAGATCTACCCCCCTTCTGATTTATTTCCTTCACTACTTGTCTTTGCAGAGTTTTTTAACCAAGAGTAAAATATGGAAAGGAAGATAGGGCAGGCCTGAGATTAACAATAGAAATTGTTCAGATGAGCATAAAGCGTACATAAGCCCAAAAACAAAAATATAACATAATCTATGTTAACACTCCTGAAATGTAGTCGCTGCATCAGTTTTATTTTTTAAGCTTGTTTCCTTCATTTTCTCCTTGTGATTTAAGTAAAACACTTCCTGTGTTAGGGTGGATCTGTTCTATGGAGGAGTAATGGAGCCACCCTTGGCCAGCAGTATTGCCAACCTGTGTTTAACCCAAGTCAACAATTCAGAAATAATCTTTCATTGTTCTGACATCTTTAACTGATGAAATATGAATTCTGGTAGCTATTATACTGTTAAATAAGCTAATCAGGCAGCATTACAAAATGCTGCATGTTTACTAAAAGCTTTTAATTGCTTTGGAGCCTTGTGAAAAATGTTACTAGCACCCAGGCCCTGCCACCACCACTAGCTTATAAGACATCACAAATAAATAATTACATACTAGAGCACTAAAATCTCATGGCAAAAATACAGAAATAATCTTTTATTGTACTAACATCTCTAAACTGATGAAATCTGAATTCTGATAGCCGATTTAACTATCAAATAATAGGGCAGCATTACAAAATTCTGCATGTCTACCAAGAGTCTTTGATTGCTTTGGAGCAAACAAACAACAAAATAAATAATTACATACTAGAGTACTTAGTTTAGAGTACAATTAGTGTGTGAACCGGATTACTGGTCTGTGACTCCCTTTTCCTCCATCAGCTGGTTTGCCCTACACTGCTATATGGTCCTAATATTTTCTAGAAGTAGTTTATCAGAAAGCCTAGCACACTGTATGGTCACAGATGTCACACATGCATAAAGCTGGCCCTGTCTATAACAATTAAATCAGGATTCGAAAGTATACATGTGAATGCTGCATTGTGCTTTGCTATGCAGCATTCAGGCCAAGGCAACCCATGACCTTTATAGAGTTCCCACAGACCCTTATGTTGGGAGAGCATTTCAAGATGAAATGAAGGACTGAACAATTATGGCTGCTGGTTGATTTTGCCTCCATTGTTTGTAGAAACTATCCTCAAACTATGAACTGCAATTAAGATTATTGTATAAGCAACAGATGTAACGTAAGAAACGGAGAAAGCTCAATAAAGTATGTAATATTCATACCCATTATATTGTTATGGTATCTGACAACTAAAAGACTATACAGTATTAGAACAATTTAACTGTGTAGGTTATTTAAAAGTGCCCTAATATTTTATGGCCATGATATTGGTATTATATTGAAACGAAAGGGCTGTTAAAAATATCTGTACTATTCATGAATAAATAGTTTGGTGATTCCTATTTTTCAATAAATCATCTTATTCCTGATATTAAGCCATGTTCTGTTTAGGTGTACATACACATGAAAGTACTAAATTTGAAAGTCAATATTTTATCTCTGCATTTATATTTGCATTTGCATAACTGGTACTTGCAGTGCATATTAAGTTTTCTGAGAAAGTGTGTTAGAATTACCTCCAGCTCAATACGATTAAATTCATCAAAGCATGCCCAAGCTCCAGACTGTGCCAGACCTTTGAAGAATTTCCCCATGGCTTTATAGTCTAGTCCATCAGAGCAGTTAAAAACAACACACTGGAAAAAAGAATAAAAAAAAAGAATAAAGGGCGTTATGTTATCATAACAAAAAGCAAGTGAGCATAATTGCAATATAAAGAAAACCTAAATAAAAGTAAATAAATTAAATGTGGTTAAATCTTTACTGATAATGAAAACTATTGAAATTAAAGTTCTATAAGTTGTATATTTGACAGGGCAGCACTGCGGGCTGCCATTGCTCTCTTCCAGAAGCATCTCTGCAGCACCATGCGCAGTTGAATGCCTGCCCCAGATGTATCACTCTTTCTCTGATTCAGGCAAAAGCAGCCTCCAGCACTGGATAAAAGCCTTAGCTTTGGCAAATTACACTTGCCTAAAAGTTTTTTTCTTTTTCTCTCTTCTCTAATTTTTTTATGCTTTCATTTTTTTAAACTTTTTCACACTTAACATTATTGCTATCACATGTGTGGGGAGGGGAAGGAAGTCTAAAGACACCCTCCCGCTCCTATAAGGCTCCCGTCCGGCCATTCAGGATGGCCAATAGACGGGAGGTGGTTAAAATTAAGCTCCAGTTTGCTCCAGGTCAACTATACATTGTTAGGATTTTCTGTAGACATTGGCATTATGTTGCGTTAGTGCACAACATAATAAAATATTAAGCATATCACAACGGCAGCTGAGACCCCCAATGTGTCACTGCACCAAATCAGTGGGGGGTCTCAGCTGCCGTTGTGATGTGCGGGGTCCCTTGTGTGTCCCTGTGCCTTTAAGGGGGTTGGGCTGCCTCCTGGCAAACCTGCACCCAATTTTAACTTTTGTCTTTTCCTACATGTGCTCCAAGATGGAGACTCTGATAGGTTAGAGTTGCCTTGATGAGGCAGTACGGCTTTCACATATTCTGCAGAAAACGTGGATCTATAACCTCTGTTCTTAACTTTAGCAGATAGACACGTTTTTTTGCATGCTGGCTGGTGAGTGTGCTGGGAAACATTTTGCTGTTGTATTGTCCAATATGGCAGCTGCAAGGTGCAGTGTCTTCTCAATCTTCTCTTATGGGAGGGCGCTCTGCATCAGCTCCAAGTTTTATCTGCAGATCTGTTTTAGAGGAGATGTGTGAATGCTCACCTGCCACCACACTTTTCCTATCTGCTGCTCAGAGAACACAGTGCTCAGTTATTAGTGAGCTTCCCAGAGTTCAGACTTGTATTCCTGACTTCCGATTCCTGATTGCTGCTTGTTTATCATTTCTAAACCACAGCTGCCCGCACTGATCTTGGCTTGTATAACCGCATGAGAACCTCTTCCGTCTGCATCAACCGTGGACTGTTATTTGACTACGGAAACTGGACTTCCCTTATTGACTTGATGCTATTGATTCCTGGCACATCCACTCCATGTATGCCCATCCCTCGCAATTGGTCTCCATACATATATTTATTACCTGCGAGTTCCTGACAAGGTGCCAACACTGCCTCCCCGCACTGTCCCCCGTCCCCTTCTGTACACCGACAATCTGATTCCCTCTGCGCACCCTGCACAACCCATTGTCACCCATGTGCCCTCTAATCTCTGCTGCTCTGTACTGGCATGTACTGAGAGAGCAATGTAAAGCAATGTAGCACACGTGGCAATGTGGATTGATCATTATCACAAGGCATAGGTGTGAAGCCTTTCCCCAGATTTTTTGCATAAGTTGCTTTTTTACAGTTGTGAGCAACTTCAATTTTCACCATTTTACAAAAAGACACAATTTAAAATATACAGATATTTGTTATTTATTAACATAGTACAGTAATATTTATTTTTATTTTTCAGGAATTGTTTATGTGGAAAAATAATGATTTTAGCATATGTTTATAGGAAATTATAGTTTCATGAAATGCACAAAATCAGCAGTACAATCTTTTTTATTTTATTGGTCCTGTGTATTCAGAAAATACATGGTTTTCGGGGGAGGGGAATATTTTACAAACTGTCAAAGCTGTAAAATAGTGAAACAAATAAAAAAAATAGCAAAACTGGTCTGGCAATCTGAAATTAAAAGTGGAGAGAAGGGCCTGGAAGTGAAACAGTAATTAGCAAATTTGAAATGAGTTAAAATAAAGTTATAAAGTCATAAATATTTCTTAAAATATTAATTTAGTACTTGTCATTTATTAGACATGTGTGCTGGCAAAAAATTTGTAATGTTTTGTTTTCATTCGGATTTTTTGTTAATATGTTTTTCGAGATTCTGGTCCAAAAGACAATTAATTTCGGGATTCGGATGAAATATGAATTTTCGTTAGTGGTAGTATGTACGAATTTTCGTTACAAACAAATTTTTGTTGCAGCAAAGTTACATTAGACAAAGGAAAAACAATTAACTTTTTTTCTACAGTCCGCAGAAGAGAAAAAAAAGTGTGAGGTTACCCCCCAATTGATACCAGACCCTTTAGGTCTGGTAAGAATGTTAGGAGGGACTCCCAAAGTAAAATAAAAGTGTATGGGGTTCCCCCAAAAGTCCTACCAAAAGTCCTACCTTTAGGTCTGGTAGGAATTTTAAGGGGGAACCCCACCCCCTAAAAAAGGGGGGGGAATGTGGGGTCCCCTAAAATTCCTACCATACCCTTGAGCTGAGCACAGGCCTGGCAAGGCAGGAAAGGGGGGCGCTCGATTGATTGGGGACAAGGGCCTCTTCCCCACAACCCTGACCCAGTGGTTGTGGGGATCTGCGGGCAGAGGGACTTATTTGCATTGGAGTACCCCTTTAATTAAAGGGGCACCCAGATGCCACCGCCCCCCCCCCTTTTTTAAAGAAGAAGAGGTAATTAGGGTTGAGTGACTCTTTTGTTCAGTATGTATGTTAAAATCTTTGTGTCGATTCATATTTTTGTATGTGATGTGAGGAAAATTATTTTGTTAAACTGGAAGGAGTCCTTGCATCCACAGCTTACTCAATTTATATGCCTAATTAGTTTTTTCCCAAGCTTAAGATTGTAGAAAAAAAGCAAAGCCTGCACCCATACATGTTATAAAATCTGGCAGCTCTGGCTGAATACAGTATGAGTCAATTTTCCCTGTAATCAGAGTTTGAGTTATTTGGTTGCTTATATAGACGAAAGCATGACAATTGTGGCACACTTGTAGACAATCCAGATGGTTCCTTCTATTCTGATGGATCTTTGTTGTCCCCTAAACATGAGCAGGCACCTGTGGAGTTCTAAGCTGAGCAGTCGTGCTGTTTTGTGCATTTGTGTGTGTGTCTGCAATGATGGAGCTCACTCCATCATTGCCCTTCTGACGAAGCCCCGTTTGGGGTGAAACGCGTCAAGGCATTGGCGTGGTGTTTTGTGGATTGCCCCAGCTACGGACACCCATGTCTGTAATAACCAGTTGTATCTAAAGGTATCCAAAGAGAAGAAAGTCCTTTTGAATATCTCCATTCAGCCACAGACTGACATTCAGGCTTACTCCATATTTTTGAAGCTGTTCATCTAGGACATCCGGATGCTTGCTCACACGGAATCTACACAAGTATGAGCACTTCTCTGTGGCTGCACTTGCTAATTGGAATTCACATGGAGTTTATGTGAGAACTAAGTATTCCATTTAAGGATATCCATAGTATCGAACATCCTTTGCTAAGACATCCTATGCCGATTGCATCTTATTGCTTTTCACACTTATGGATGTGTGACATTGGAGATTTCCCATTTGAGGATCAAACAATGCCACTGTGAGTGCTGTCTACTTACTTACTTTTTTTTGACAAGGAGTGAGCTCCATCATTGAGACCTGTTTTTCCCATGCACATTGTGCTTTTGAATCATTACTTGCGGGACTGCAATCTCTTTCATCTTTGGAGATACCTTTTTCTGGGGGATTTTTATTCTCAAAGAATAAGTTTACTCTAGGGGTGTACCAATCACTTTATTTGTTCTCATCTAAATGAAATTCACTTAGCTGAGTGCAATCCTACGTATATGTTTGTTTTTTTGTACTGATACACGTGTCATATATGTCTATATTTAAATATTTAAAGATAGTTTAATAAATACGTTTTTTACTGACATTGTTGCATATTTGAAGTGGTGGTGGGATCTCCTTATTTCGGGAATTGTTTCTGTGTTGGAATTACTATAGGAGACTCAGCACTAGATACTGTTTTGCTACATAATATATCTATAACCTTCCTTCCCCATATATATTTTTGTGGTCCCCTAAATTCCTTACCCAACCCTTGATCCGAGTATCCGCCTGGAAGCACCATATCAGGCCACATGCCCTCAACACGGGGAGGGTGCTTTGCCAGGGGGGACCCCTCTCATCCATTCTCATATTGTTTAGATGCATCCAAAATTTTCCTTATCGGAAAATTCAGAAATTTTCAGAATGAATGACATGGCTTATGGATAGGTTTTTGTAGAACATCTGGTTGATGAACTTGCAGTTGTGTTGAATTTGTTCAAAGGAGAACAAAGTATTTTGTTCATACAGTTAACATACATACTTAACCCCTATTGAGGCCTATCATTTCCATCATGAATATCCTTTACCATTTTCAATCCCAGGTTACCATATTGGTATTTTAGGTGAAATTGTGTCTTTTATACATTTCTTGCTGAAATGTCGATATGTAATAGAGACAGTTTATTACATTCGGTTAAAGTTAATATACTGTAATCTAAATAATATGTTTACTGAATAGTAAGTTTACTGCTTAATGCAAAGTGTGAACATGGCCTAAGGTTAAATCTGTGGAGTGACAGTGCGTCAAGCAGAAAATTATTTTATGCATGTTTGCATTGTTAAGAATAGGCAACACATTTCAAACCTTTCTCAGTGACAATATATACAAATATAAGAGTTATTTTTAATTTAAGCATACTTCCTGATATATATTATTTAGCCTGTTTCTGTGGTACATTGGCACTGTAAGTTGAGGTGAATTTAGTTTTGCTAAATATTACTATTTTTATGTTTTATTGTGGAAATCAAGCATTAATTATGGGCAAAAAGCTGTATATAGGATTTCATCACTTATAAATTAGCTTATTTTTCTAAATCTACTTGCTAAGTAAGTTAGTAATTAGACTTGCCTTAGTTTAACCGCTATGCTATACAAAAAAGCTTCACACATCTTCCTAATAGAATACAATAAGAAAAATGTGTGAAATTAAGTGAATATTGTATGAAAACATTTATAAGCAGAAACTTAAAAGTGTGAAGTCAATTTTTTTTTGTTGGATTTGGTTAGAGTGGGTATGGGTTAAAACCCTTCACAGATGTTACTGTTACATATCTGTTATGGAGATTTCCCCTCAATCTGTGTCCCTCTGTAGATTTTTGTTAACTTTCTGTCTGGGGAAACCATTGTCACTGGGTCAGATAGTGAGGAAAATTTTACCAGGCAGGATCTCTAGCCCACCATCAATCTAAAAAAAGAGTTTTTGGTTTGACATACACTTTAATTATTACATACAATTAATTCATTTTTAAAAGAATTGTAAATAATTTGGTGATTTTTTCAAAGAATTTCAATTTGATGGAGATCCATGCAACAATAAACGGAAACTAATGTTTACTGGTAAGAACACTGTCACTGGACATAATGCACTGAAAGACAATGAAATAGTGTTACACATAACAATTATGCATAATTAAGCAATATAGGGGCATTGTAGCTTTATTGGATATAATGTAAATCAGGTTCAAGAGATCAGGTTTAGATATATTTTTCCACAATAGTTTTTTTCCCAATTTATACCCAAGCAGTTAGTCTGAATGGGGTTTTTAGTGTTTTATATGCATGCATGTGTTTTTCTTTCTGGAGAGTGGCTCCTTATGGAGGGTGGCTTTTTTCCCCATGGTCCCTGTGTGGGTTGTAAAGTAGCCACTGCTCTAAGCTCACTCCCAGCATGAACTGCAATCACACATTTAGTTTAATAATTTGTTTTCAGATTGTAGTCCATCATGGGAGTGAGCTTAGAGTGGTGGCTACTTTACAACATACACAGGGACCATTGCAAACAAAAGTAGCCACCCTCCAGAAGGAAGGACAGTGTCAGCATGAATTCAGAGACGCTTGTAGGAGCTACAGCCAAGTAATACCCAGATAAGCTACATTTTTGTAAATAGGGTACTTGAATGCATTTTTAAGATTTATAACCTGAGGTCAGTGTCACTTTAAATACCCAAGGGGAAATCTACAATTCAGGGGCATATGTGTGTTCAGTTTTTTTAAAGCCTTTTGTATTTGGGGATGGGTGGCTGTGAGCCAAGTAATTCATATTTTTAGAAGGTGAAGATCAACAACGGCAACCCCCATATTTACAGTGGGGTCTATACACTAAGCTGCCGTAGGCAGCCGAGTGAATGACCGACCTGAAGTGAAGTGAGCTGAACACTGAAATCAGCCGTACATCGGCTTGCTTCGCGTGGCTTCGGGTCGGCCGAACATGCTAAGCATGTTCGGCCGACCAGGCCAGATCCTTCGGCAGCTTCGTGAATAGACCCCAGTATCTCAGTATGGGTTTCCTTTAAAATATATGACCATTATTGTTTATGATCAGTGCTGAATGATCTGCAAGTATGATATGATTCAAATTGCTGAAATGTGTAGGTGGCAACATATGTGATTTTATGGTGACTGTAAGGTCCCTGTATAGGTACTTGACCCTATTCAAATGCTAATAAGTGGATAAGTGGCATCTTATAGGGGTGATTTACTCAGGGGAAACAGGCTTTTCCCTTTGCCAGGGAATTTTCCCTTAGCTTAGTGAATGAGGTAAAGCTCTTTTGACTTCTATAATCCAGTCATGTGCAAGCACAACTACTGTTTCTTTTATTTTCCTTCCAGTTGATTTGGTATTCTTTGCAAACTGAATTTTTACCACATTTACTAAGGTAAGAGAAAATGTCCATGCCAAGTGAACATTCTCTTGGAAAGTGAACAGCTTTTTTTGTGTTTAGCAAATCAAACCCTGTATCTCAGCAGGCCAGTAATTAGCTCATGTGTGGACAACTTCAGAATGTAATATGGAGAAAAATAGAAACAGCTTGTGTCTGACACATTAATACTGCTTAAGCCAATTCAACAAGAAACAATTATAGGATAAATGAATACAACAAACCTATAATTGGAGAAAAGTCATATTGTCTAATTATGTCTAATATATTTCTATGCATGGATGCCAATATTGTACATAAATATCAATTCATGGTCTATAGGGTTGATAGCCTTTTTCACTACAAACAAATTAATTTATATGTGGACCCTCACACTGACGTACATAAGAAAAAAGAATTCCAATATGCATGGAACATTGTCTGGGGAATCTTATGAGCAAAAAATATTAAATAAATAAATAAATAGATCCCACCATGATAGAAATAGCAGGTGGTCAGATCTTTTGTAAAATGTCAGGGGAACAGACACAATTATATGTTCACAAATTACAATCATACACTATACACTTGTATTCTAGTCAAGTCTGTGGAGCAAAATAGATGTGTTATAAATTAGCACTACAATATGCAACAAGCTGTTTCCACATAATTGTAGAGGTAAGAAAAAACAATGTTTCTTACAGAAGAATAGATGCAAATGAAACATTTTAAATACAGAAAAAGTGAAAATGGAAAAAAATTACACTTTGAGACAAACACTGTAGCATTATGTACACAGCTTACTAATATTGATGGCTTGTGATATTAACTTTTTGTATAAGAAGTGTACAAAATTAGTGTTTTAATGAACTTTTAATTTTCTTACCTGAACAATAGAAAGCATAAATAATATTTTCCTTCCAGGCTATATTCAAACATAAAAGCCCAATGCTCTTGTAGTAAAGAGGTGATGCAAGGAATAGAGTTAGTTCAATGAAAGTATAGGGAGGAACTGTAGGTCAAATTACTTGATTCGAAAATACAGAAAAATGCATTACTCTGAAGGGTGGCTGTGGCTTTCTTTATCTCTTAAAAAAACCTTTTTCTTATTTCTGATTAATTATACAGTAGAAAATTGAACTCTAAAGGTGACCATACATCTTGTGATTATTGCTATGAAATCATCCACGAATGGTCTGCCATAGGAAAATCGATTCATTTGTACGGAAACCAATGATTTTTTCTAATGTACTCCTGGCCAAATGTCCTTGATCAGTCAGGCTGGAAACATTTTTTTAATCAAACGAAAATCGATGGATTAGTGATGTTTTCGTACAAAAATAAATTCTGAGTTCTGTCAATCGACAAAATTAGTATTGCTAACGAATTATTATCAAACCAACATTGGTTTGTGCGTGATGGGGTATTTGAGTGGAAATCAAATGACTGTTCGATGAAGGCACAAAAGAAATCGAACGATAATTGGAAGGTGCAAGGACCACCTTAAGTAAACCACTAAACACACAGTTCCTCTCTCATTGATAGTGATCACCAGTAAAAAAGAGGGGTTCATTTCTCTAATGCGGTAAAAGGCAGCAACCCTTGCCACTCTATCTAAAACAAACAAAGGGGGTTGCCTTTGCATAAACTTTGAGGAATACAGGGGTGCCTCCTCTCTACCAACACCCTTCTGCCTGGACAGAGAATGAGCAGCAGCAGATTGTTGAGGTCATCCCTCTGCTCAATCTGCTCTCTCCTTCTTTTGGCATGTTTCTGGTACCAGTTTAATTAAAAAATGATTATAAATGAATACAGAGTCGGGTTAATTTGTTACTTTTATATCTTTCTGGACTTCGGACTGAAACTAATCAGAGGTTTGAAGTACCTGCTTATTTTGCATTTTCTTTGCTATTTGGATCATATATTTAGTTGAAGAGCTCCCATTAGAGTTCTGGAAGGATAAAAAGGCACATCTTATTTCTTTAATAAAGCAGATAAAAATCTTATTAACAGAAACTGCAGTGTTAGTGAAAATGTTTAAGTACAAAAAGGAGTACATAAAGAAAATGAAAATAAATACTAAAACATTATATTTTAATAAGTTTTAGAGGGAAGTGTTCATATGTTATAATCCCTAATGAGCTTTTTTTAACTACATTAGGCTAGAGACTCAAGAGTATTGTAAACTAAAAGGGCTGGAATACAGAGGTCATTACCAACCACAACAATACATAGTGAATATTAGTAAGAATAAATAAAAGGCTATTTACAGAATATGCCTGTCCCTCTGGAGTAAAGATCATTTTCTTTTATTTTAGTTAAGGCGTTTGCAAAAAGTAAATGCAGGAATTTTAAACCTTTATTAAATTGTTTTTATTTGATTGCTCCTCTGTTGGAAAGCAGATGATCTAGTAGGTTAGTTCTCATCTTGTCCTAACTGTTGCTTATTAGTTAATGTGTGCTTTTTACTTGAAGTATGGAGAATGTAGTAGTCCAGCTTGAGATAAAGCAAGCAAGAAGTTATCATCTGCCAAATTTTTTTTAAATCTTAATGCAGATCTGTGGCTTACATTTTAATACCAGCTAAATTTCAATAACTGGTTTAGAGCATTAGAACTGTATTCCATAATTCATTACCATTTTCCAGCTTGACACAGCATTAACAGCTTGAAAACATACTTCTTGTATATGCAGTTTCATCCACAATGTTTTCACTGTACACAACATAACTGTAATGGTTCAAAAATGCATTTTTAATTCCACACCGGCATCCCTATATAGATCAGATGAATTTAACACTATGGGGGTTATTCACAAAGCTGCCAAAGGCAGCCGAGTGAATAACCGAGCCGAAGTGAAGTGAGCGGAACACTGTCCAGCTATTTACTTCAGCCTTGTACGGCTGATTTCAGCCGTATATCAGCTAAAATCAGCCGTACTTTGGCTGCCTTCAGTCAGCCACACATGCTCTGCATGTTTGGCTGAGCCGAAGTGCAGAAGGAGTTTGACTCAGCCGATTCAACATCTGAATTGGCTGAGCCGAAGCTCTGACTGCTCACTCGCTGCCATTCGTCCCTATTTTCATAGGGGCTGAACGGCAGTAAGTGAATAGCCGAAGGCTCGTAAAATCAATTAAGAAGTTGAAAAAATATTTTTAAAATGTAAAAAAATAGTAAAAGTAAAAAATACATAAAGATATTTAAAAAAGAAAAAATAATAATAATAAACCAATTGGGCGGAGCTAGCAGTGACAGCTAGCTCCGCCAACTGTTTCCTATTGGCCAGCACCTGCTAGACTCTTATAGCAGGTCCCGGCCAATTAACAACTGGACGGAAGGTGGCTGTGATGTCTCAGCCGGCTTTGCCCGGTTGTTATTGTTTAATGACAGATCAGTGTCCCCAGGTCATTTGGGGATGCTGATCTGTCATTACAACTGGGTGGAGCCAGCCATGGGATCACGGCTGACTCCGCCCAGCTGTCATTTGTGGGGCTTATGGCCGGCCATCATCCGGCCATAAGAAGAAGGAGACATTTAGAAACACTTAGCTAACATAATGGGTCAAGCTCCATGTGATAACCTTAGGAGTGAGAAAAACCCATGTAGGTGCAGTGTCATGGTCCCTGAAAACGTTTAAATTTGGTTTTGCTTAGGAAGTTATATTCCAATTATTAAAGAATTAGGACACTGGAGGTAGTCAAAGTTTTCTTTTACAAACTGAAGGGTGCAAAACAGGGGTGGAGGGGAGTGTGTTGGACCTATTGGGACCTGAATTGGGGGAGGGGGGAGACAACTGTCTGAGAAGTGCAAGGTGGTGGGAGAGGGGGAGAATTAGGGAAGGGAATTATTTTAGAAGGAAACCGAGAGTAATAGGAGAGGACATTTACAGGAGTAGTAAGAAAAAAAGGGGGTGGAGCTGGGGGGCATAATAGGCATATCAAAATAAACTCCAGCTGTTCCCAGCTATCACATTATCTTCATATTTTTGGATACGGTAATAGGATGTAAATAGTTTGTAAATTCTTCCACTCCGTTCCTAAAAGTGGAAGTAAGGTGTCCCATTGACATAATATCATTCACCATGGCACGCCATTGGCCCAAAGTTGGTTGGTTGGTTTGTTTTCAATTCCTAGGCATACAGGCTTTGGCCATGTTAATTAGAAGCTATTTCTGTATTTTCTTCTAGACAAATGTGTAAGGTTGAAAAAACTCTTTAGAGATTTTTTATTTATCTATGGAGTTAACAGTGAACAAGTTGCTAGAAGGGGGCCAATATTTTTCAGTATTAGAAAATATGCAGAATAGTGCCTCTGGTTCCAATGCAAATGCCAGAATTAGTCACATGATGCAGGTATATTTTGGAGAGCACAGAGGGCACCCTATACCATCTGGTCTGGATTTTTAAAATTAGTTTTCTGGTATTTACTACAGGCAGACTACACTTCTGGTCAGTTAGGTTGTGCAAGTTTTCAATCATAGAGTATAATGGAATGTTTACTTCCTTGCAGGTTTCCATTATACTCTATGTTGTGGAGTCATGCATGTGCAGTAGCTGGTTTGCAGGATGAAGAAGTGCTGCCAAGCCATGAAAAGGCCTAAAATCATATACTGCATTTGTCATACACTGAATCCGAAAAATATATACTGTATATATACAGTATGTGTGTGTGTGTGTGTGTGTGTGTGTGTGTGTGTGTGTGTATATACTGAAAATGTAAATGTTGAGTCAAAAGCTTGAGAAACCCTAGATAGCTTAGCATAAACTTTTTCCACTTAGATAGTTGATAGAGGGGACATTTCTCAGGTCTCGATTATCACAAGTGTGAGTGGTAATCAGTTGTGGTGGCAAATTAGGTTTCCTGCAAATCTCTGAGAGTGTATTGAGAGCAAACCTTTATCACAATTAGTAAACTTAGAATATCCATTTTATTTTATGTGGCAATTCTGTACTTGGGCTGTGGCAGGATGGAAAGTTTGCTGCTTGGCCAACATAATAGGAAATAACAGAATATTTGAAAATCAGAGACATGGGATTGATCTACTAAAGGCAAATAGGCTCTTCACTTTGCAAGGGAATTTTCACTTAAATTTTTGCTTGGACATGATTGGATGATGGACATTAGCAGAGCTTCACTTAATTTACTAAGCTAAATGAACATTCCCTTGCAAAGTGAATAGCATATTTGTCTTTAGTAAATCAACCCCATGGATTTCTACAAAAACATGGCTAGTGCCTTTTTTACTTTCAGAATAAAGTAAAAGTAACAGACATCTTGGTCCCAGAGTAGTCCTAGAGCCTAGTGCCTACTGTATGTGTGCTGAATATTTTCCAGTCAGTATCTGGGATATCAGAAGGGGGCATCTGAATTTAATTGTGTAAAAACACTCCTTCAGGAAAAAAAAAAACTGTATGTGTAAATGTTGTTACAAACCAATACTTTCAAAATCTTTCATCTGTGGCTCCACCATGATAATGCTATTGATAGGAGAAATATTTCTTCCACTAAATAATGTAAATAATCTATATTCATAGCTAAGTTTTTTCTTAAAGTTTTAGAGATAAATTGGATTTAGAGGATGACATTGAGCTGATATTATGCTTCTGTTCATTTGCAACAAAGCTGGGAGATAAAGGCAAATATGAGGCATAGGAGGTGTTCCTTCTCAGGAGGTGGCCAAGTATGGCGACTTTAGCAAGACTGGCTTTTGACTTGAAGGAAATGTTGAGCTGACCCCTTTTAAAACCCATGGGTCACTGTACATGTGCTCCTTAGCAGCTCAATCTAATTGTCGAAATTCTAAGAGCAGAAAAGCTTGCCAACAGAGCATGCATTTTTTTTAAGGTTATATTAGATGATCTTTCTAAAGGAAAAAATACAAAAAAATTGTTAGCAAATCCCTATTTACATTTTTAATGGATCATTTAATTTGCTTGGCTTGTAGCTTATACTGTGAAGACATGAAAACATTTTTATTCCTATTTACGCAAAGGTCAGCATGTGCTGCATTAAAAAAATGTGGTAAATAAATGGCTGTTCGACCATAAACGACAGGTGGTATTTGAATCACTCTTGTTTTGTAATTTTGAAGCTACTTTAAATGTATTAGCTCTGCCAGAGACAACAAATCACAAACAAACTTGCTGTCTGCATGAACATAGCTACATTAATTGTTGTCTAGAAATGGCAGCATGACATTATTCTAGTAAGATACCAGTAAGACACCAAAAGACATTCAAAGAAATGCTATCTGGCAGGAGGGCATTTTTCTCAAGTTCCTATGGTGAATCATTATGCTCCCTTTCTAAAAACTAAATGCGCTACTTGGAAGGTATTTATATTAAACAAACTTTCTTTTTTCAGGTTGCTATGATACTGAGACACCAAACACTATCTCAGGACACACACAAAATACCTCAGCTTAATATAAAAGACAGAGAAAGCATACTGTTTGCATTGTGTAGGTGTATATATTAGGTTATAAAAATAGACCGAATTCAATTTGGCAACTTCTTGTAAAAGTTTATTACAGACAAAAGAATCTTGCAAATAGTTAAATTGCTACTTTCAAAACTCTAAATTGTGTTATTTAACAACTGGTACATTGTGATTCCTATAATCAGCAAAAATGCAATTCTACAAGGTAATAATGGAAACAATCCTTTCAGAGACAAACTGAAAAGGGTTAAGAATATGTATTCTTTATTATATTCTTGAAAGTATATACAAAAATAATTTAAAAAAAGGTTTCTTAGTGCCTATAGACGTTACTTTCTCTCTCTAAAAGGAATACTATAAAACATTCTATTTTATAGCATTGTCCTATTTTTGAATAAAGGTTTGCACTTGTTACTGCCCTGAAGGAACTTACAACCCAATGTAATTTCCACAGTTGTGGAGATATATGCATAGCAGGGTCAGTTAGATGCAGATAAACCTACAGGCATTTTTTTTGGTTGTGGGAGTACCAAGAGTAAACATGTAAGCTGGCAAAAAAATAGTTTTGCTTTGAATTTTTTTGTTCTTTTATTTTTTTGGGTTTTGGGTCAGAATGCCGTTTCATTATTCACATTTGAATCTTTCTGATTGGCCAGAAAACAATCACATGTCCTATTTAGTTTCATTTTGCATGACATTTGTACAATCTGAAATTTCGTTAAAAGAACATTTGGATTAATTTGCATTTTGCCTCATTGGAATTCAGACATTTGGTTGCATCTGAATGTCAAAATTCACGAAATTTCATCCGACATTGCATTCGGAATGGAACAAAACTTATATGTCTAACCCTGAGTATACTCATGTATACATCAAAAGAACATATGAACTCCATGGAGCTACTACTCTTGGTGAAAACTAAACTCTAGGGAAAAATGTAGGGGCCATATGAGGTTTCATACTCCAAAAGTTTATAGCCTATTGTTTGGAGTTCCCTATTTTCTTATTTCACTCCTTGCATGCTCTTAGCCTGACACGTTAAACACTACATGTGAAGGGGGAGATCCTTATGATGCCAACAAAATATATGAAACATATCACACATAAAATGGAGGAATTTAACTTGATCTGTAGTACTAGGTCTGGAAGGTATAACCACTTTCTATGGCCACTGTTGCAGCATTCTTTACCATTAGCAGCTACCTTTCAAGTAAACATCGTACATTTGGTCCATTAGTTGTTTGTCCCAAGAATGAAGTGGTAGTAAACCAATGCGTCCTGGGTGGATTTTTTCCATAATGTACAAGTATGCAAACTTGCCTTACAAGTTTGCCGATCTTCAGCGCTGTTTGAGGCATCTTTGCGCCCCTGCTCTCTCCCCCACTGCTGCCATCTCTGCTACTGCCACTTTTGAGTTCCCAGGCATCTTCTTCGGCCACACAGGAGTTACCTCCTGCTTAGCATCTTAGATATGCTATGAATGACCTAAGAATAGAGACACTGCATGGTGTGTGTTCTGCACAGTGTACACAAAAAATTAATAAATGCTTGGGGAGACTTTGCATGTTTCTTCTGTCAAAATCTTTACCTCTAAGCAATGTTTTAATTACCTCTGCTTTACTCAGGATTCCAGTGTGGCAAGGCAGGAGTCCTAAGCATATATTCCCCAGAAAAGTTTAAAATTATTTTAGGATTTATAGAGGGGTGCAGTGACTAGATAAACTCCAAGGTAAATAAGGATAGACTTAGGGGCATATGTACATAGCAACGAATGTGATACTCACCAAACATGTACTGCGGGTGAATCAATTACTGTAACTTAAACCAGATAAAACAGAAAATTACACCTGCAGTGAGTATTTGGTGAATGTCACTGCTTTTTAAATATACCCCTCAATGTATTTTAGGAGTATGTCTGTGATGCAATAAAATATACATTTATATATTAGCTGACACATGCAAATAACTCAGTCGGCTCCCAGCTTATCTCCTCTTTGGCACCCTTTTAAGGACCTAGCATTGTCTGACTGTGACACATTAAAGATAATACAGGCAGCCAGTAGGCTTTATAAAGTCAATATATCCCAATCCAAAAAATATAATATATTGCAGCTTACCAGTCTTTAGATGAGGTGTTTGCATTAGTTTTCTTTTTTTCAGGATTTGTTTTCTTTATTTACATCTGGTAATCCTGTGAATAACACAATTCCTTCCCTGGGTAGCTATGCTCAGGCCTCCACCATGTTTAGGGAAGGAGCCATGGTTGTCACCCAGGTTGTAATACTAATACTGTATATCTGGCTTTGCTCATCTCCATTACATGGTGGCTGATGGAATTAGTTGTTCACATAAGAAAGATACTTTTTTTGTCTTTAGTGCAGCTCTCAAAAAGTGACAAGCTCTATAGGTATTTTTAGTACTTCCTGGAAAAAAATTTAAAAAATCTACCACATCCAAGGAATGGTAATCTCCCCTATATTAAATGTGTGTTCTTGGGTTTAGTTATGCTTTAAGATGTCACATTACACAATAGCCATCAATAGAGCCATCCAAAGATCCCAGGGTGTTGGACCATTTTCTATTGAGGCTATGGATGGCAGTGCCAGAAACAAACAGTGATGAATGAACACATTTGCTTTAAGGACATTGGCAGTTTATGGACAGCTCCTGGATAAAACACAACCCTTAGTGGATGATTGAAGTAGTGGATTTATGCCACTTAAGTTTATATTGACTTCTCATCATTTGAGGTCCTTCTATCAGGTGAGTTGTCACTCACACAAGGTGTAGTGGAGGAACTCTCATCTTGGTTGTCGCACTTCTGATGCCAAATCGTATTAGATTTATTTATTCAACACTCATATTGACCTGTATATGTGGAGTCCATTTGTTTGATGAGTTTTATTTAGAGAAGGTGATGATTTACACTTTAACTGGAGGTCAAGAAATGTCACTCCTAGTGCTGCAATTTGTAAAATAATGTTCTGAGGTCTGCAGGGTATTGGTGCTGGTCTGAGGTCTGCAAGGCATTGGTGCTGGTCTGAGGTCTGCAGGGCATTGGTGCTGGTCTGAGGTCTGCAGAGCACTGGTGCTGCTCTGAGGTCTGCAGAGCACTGGTGCTGGTCTCAGGTCTGCAGGGCATTGGTGCGGGTGTGAGGTCTGGCATTCAAAGTATGCATTGGTGCTGGTCTAAGGTCAGTTGAAAGTAACATTCTACAGGCCAGACATAGCACAACTGAGCCATGAAATAAAGACACAGGGATCACACTAAAACTCTAAGTCCAATTTACTTTTCAGTGCATGTAAATATGAACATGTTTTGTGTGTGCACCAGTTATTTAATTTTTTCACTTATAGTTTTGCTGCTAATGGCAAGGTAAACACATTAAAATAATTAGCGAGTTTAACTTACTATTAGCAGTACAGCTATTAGTGCAAAAATTTAAATGTATTAACACTACAGTGCGATATTGTTCACTGGCACCCAGTTGTCTGATGGTTTCATAAATGGCACTTGGTATGTAAAAGCTTGCTGACCCCTGACCTATACTAACCTCCTCCGGTGACCCAAAGCTTAGTATATATTGGGCTATTGCTCACTATATACTGAGAGCGCCACAGCTGGGATGGATCCTGACAATACTGTTGTGATCCATCCAGCTGCGTGGGTGACAGCTGGCCCTATCTAGAGGCAGAGCCAGTTGTGCCCACCCCCTCCCTTATTCGTTCCTCCACTCAGCGCTGGAGGAGAGGGGGGAATCCCTGCGGGGAGCCGTGACTAACAGGAAGTGAGTGGATCAGCTGCAAGTTTCTGCTCACTTCCCGATTAATAGAGCCAACCTGTGACAGCTTCTTTGTCACAGGTCAGCTCTAACTATGAGGATGATCACTCACCTCAAAGTTCTCCTTTAAGAATGCATACATCTGTTATTTTGCAAGCTTTGTGACTTTTTGGAGTATACTGTTTTGCACATTTATGTTTGAGTTGTACTTTATGCACTTCAAGCAGAGACATTTCTTCTTTTTACAAAGATATATGGACACACTGACTACATTTTCAAGTTTGTTAGAAGGAAAATAAGGTCTAACTCTTAGGAGGAAAAACAGAAATGCTGCCACATCCTTGTAAAACTTGGTGAATGTATGAATTGATGACCAAGTAGTTGATTTACAAACCAAAGAAATCGATGCTTGGTGGTAGAAAGCCCAGGACCCAATTACCAATCTTGTAGAATAAATCTTGGTGCCCAGAGGACCTTGAATTATGACCACTAACAGTGACATGCTGCCCTCGGCAACCACCTGATGAGCCTGCAACAGTCTGACAAGACTGACCAACAAAAAAAGGCTACACTTACCACCCTTCTGTCTCGGTCACAGAAACTGGTCCCTGTTTCTGGATTGCAGCCTGGCCTACCATGCTGGCTCCATTCCCAGTGTGTGTATTTGCAAGGGAAGGACTAATTTTCCTCCCAATAAAACTTTACTAAAGATGGTGGCCACTGATTGCAGGCTAGACTACAGATGGACTTAATTTTCAGCCAGCTCGCAGTGCTGCAATGTGACAATAGCAGATGCTTAAGCCATGTCCAGGCAGTCCTCAATGAAAATCCCCAAATAGAGAAAACGTAAGGACCAGTTTGCAGAGGGACCCTGGGAGTGAAACTGCTAAAAGATGTGCTTCCTGTGTTATAATGTCCCGATGCGATGCAGGGCATCACACAGGCCCCAGTCAAGGCCTGCTCACCTCTAGCCCCCATAAGGGTAGTAGCAGCAGAAAAAAAGTCCCATGAGGGATATTTATATTAAGCATAGCCTATTAAGCATAACCCTCACACTGTTTCTCCCTAGAGAAGAGAAGTACCACACATAGACACCTCGTCAAAAGGAGACACTGTGACCGGACAGCCCAATAGGCCTCATAGGCTGTCCCCAAGGCTGGAAATATTTCTTCCCAGTGGCAAAAAATCCACAGGGTGCCCTTGCCAGGGCTAGCACAGCTGAACCTGCTGGAAGCAAGGAACCTTATGCACTCAATGGCTGAAACTAGAGAAACCACAGGATCTATATTATCTGGCCTGCCACAAAACCATATACTTGCTTAAAGTAAAAGGAGGAGATTTCTATAGCCTAGTTGCTAGGCTAATAATTGAGCTTGTTGCATAACTTGATGGGGGAGAGGTTTGCCACCAGGAGGGGCTATCCCTGGACTGTGTTTTGATTTTACTAGGTTTACCTAGTGACCTACACCTGCAGGTGGCAGTATACCCAGTATGTGATAATCTAAAGCAGAGCTGTGTCCTATGATGAACAAAAGAGAAATTTATTTTATGAGAAGCAGCTATTTGGGACTTTTTTTTATTAACTAAAGAGATCGATATTTGTAGCAGCGTGGTTTCCACTTTATTTACATGTTTTTACAAGCCCTCCTACATGTATGAAATTTAAAATGACATTACTTTGAAAAATAATTGGTGAAGATATGATATCATGATTTTACCTGAAGCAACGATCAGTCAGAGGTGTTAGGACAAGTCTTCCTGCATTGCCTAAATATTCATATCCATAAGGTACAGTTGTGGTAACCATCCTGACAACAACACTGTTTTCCTCCCAATAATATCTCATTTGTGCAATCCAGCCAAAATCTGACGAGTTTGCAACCCCACGATTATTCAAATTGAAAACAACATCTCGAGCTAAAAAAAAGGAAGTCATAGTACGTTACATAACGCAGCCCATATGTAAATAATGGATTAAAAAATACTAATTAGCTATTTCGTATACAAATAAAAGCAGGACTATGTTCAAAAGAATATTGAGTTTCTAATTCTAATCTTATTGATATAGCAAATCAGATATCTTATGCATGTTTCATATTGCTATAAAATAAGTGAATATAGGCACAATTCTAATGGTCTATTTTTAAAATTCAGAATAAGAATCATATGTCAAGGAATATGAAGAAAACTGATATGCAATTAAAAACACAAAAAATGTAAATATAGAAATAGGACACTGGACAGGTTCTGGTTAAAAGTATTTCAGATGATCAAACGACCTTTTTATGATTAATATAATAAGAGATCCATGGGTAGCCTTATTATACTATACATCTTCATTCCTGACTAACTCACAACATAAATTGGGGACTTATGGCATGTTGGCGGCGAAACAGACCATTGCCCAAGCATGGAGGAAACCACATGTGTTTTTTGGGGAAGTTAAAAAGAGGATGGATTCATTTTTTCTTGATGAAAAACTGACTAGCATCCTGTTGGATTCCAATAAAAAGTTTATGAAGACTTGGGAACCCTGGATTAAGTACGCTCATCCAACACTCTCAGTAGAAAGTTTGATGCTTTTGTAGAAACAATTTTGGCGTCTAATCCCTTTTTCTGTTAGTATTGAGGTTTTGGTTGTTTTGTTTAGTTTTGTGGTTATATTGTATTGTTTGTTAAAAGGTGGTTGGTGGGGAGGGTCAGCAGGGTGATACAAATTATGTCTATCCTTGCAGACTATAGATGTCAATGTATGTTTTGTTTATGGATGTTTATAAAACAAATACAATCTTTGAAATAGAAAATGCTTATTTGCAAAACAGAGATTCAGTGTTATACTGTATTTTCGCTTTTAAATGTTTATACTTTTGTCTGGAAGTCATTGCAACACCTACTTTCTATTCCCTCCTAATTAAAATTATGTTGCTAAGGTAACTGTCCCTAATTCATCAGAGTTATACCACTGCTGAAATGGGCCACCTAGTGAGCACTCTTTAAAAGGGCAACTTTAGTGCCCTATATTGGCTTTATTCAGCCTGCTGGAAGGAAGAAAAGCTATTGCTTTTGCCACTGTAAGTAAAAGCACAAATTTGCTCAACTATTTTATTTTGCTAGGAAATTCTAGTTATTGTTTACAATTGTTTAGGAACTGCATTTTTGACATGTGCCTTGTCTTCAGTAAACATTCTATTTAGTTTCACAGTGTATTTAACACCTCAAACCACATCTCAACAACTTATTAAAGACGCAATCACTTCACCATGGCATATAATTTCTACCATATTAATTATTAATACTAATTACAACAAATCTCCCCCTTCCCATTAGCACATACTCACCTGTGCTTTGCTTCTTGTTGCTCTATTAAGTTGCCAGAAGAAATAAAAGACCAAACACTTTCAGTTGAGAAGCATGTGACTAACCCTATGATGCATGCTCGCTACCCCTTGGAAGGAGTCCTATCATGAAACGCATCAGGAGGTCAGGGCATATGCACATTTCCTGCTACATGAACTCTGCTGATTGAGGAATGTGAGGAGATCTGTGATTGAACGCCGATTTTTCTTGTACGTTTTTTTAACCATTTTAATAAACTTTGGAAGTAAATGACACAATGAGAGGTATCTGTATTTCTGTTTGAGCTTGTTTTAAAAGTTTTAATTGAAGTGAAGAGGAGGAGAAAGAGGTGGACCCAGTGAAGGGAAGTGATCTAATAACAGGAGGATATCTGAGACATGTGGCTTATCCTATATAGGAGAGCCCTGTTAGTCTGGTGAGTGTAGTTTCTTACAGATTACAGCACGTTTGTGGGGAGATTTACAATCATTTACAGGTGAAACTCGAATAATTAGAATATCGTGCAAAAGTAATTGCAGTAAGTGCTGCAAAAGGGGCCCAAACCAAGTACTGAGTACATATGCATGCTTGTACTTTTCAGAGGTCCAATATTGTTCTATGTACAATCCTTGTTTTATTGATTGCATGTAATAATCTACTTTTTTGAGGTTGTGGATTTGGGGTTCTTGGGGTTTTCATGAGCTGTAAGCCATAATCATCACAATTATGACAAATCACGGCTTGAATTATCTTGCTTTGCATGTAATGAGTCTATCTCATATATTAGTTTCACCTTTTAAGTTGCATTAGTGAAATAAATATTAATTGATTTATGCTGAATACAAGTGTCATTTTGGATTTGGTATAGTGCAGTGTAAGTGTATTATAGTTTATTATTCACTGTGATTTTCACCCAAGAGCATTGCAGCATACCATGGGTACTTAAGGGTTAATATCTCAGCAATGGTTAAGAGGATAATTTATTATTACACCAATGCTTTTCAAGTAATCAACCACAGATTTTATTTTTAGGTTATCACCCACCCTCCACAAGTAGTTTAATCAATATCACAGTTATTACCAAAGATGTTTTATTTAAAGGAAGCCCTGAAAACATGACCTACAGAGAGTACTTTAAGACTGGAATTGAGAAACACTGTAGTAGACTATACTATAAGTTTACTAAGCAAATGTTTCAAATCTTTTGTATACAAGTGAATATTATACCGTTAAACAAGTTAATCCATACATAGCAAGATGCGGGGGGATACCAAGTGAGACCGGTAACAGCCCGATAAGCAGAGATTTTACAGCTGTTTTTCATCTCTGCATGACAGAAAAAACTAAATCATCTGTGAGTCCGGCTCTAATATAATGGTAGTATTTACTTTGTTAATTTTTGTGTAATTGGATTTTCACCTGAAAGTTATGCTACAAAGCTATTAAATCAAAGAACTTTATCCCTATCTGATTTTGCCTAGATATCTGTTTATTGTGCTAGTGTTCTGTGATATTTAATAGGAATCTGGTTGATTAATGAGGTGTTTAATTTTTATAGTCACTATTAAAATGAAAAGCAGTCTGCTTTATCTCAGAGAAACTATTTCAAAGGAGCTTGATGCTCATTATGAGTAATCACTTGCAACTCTTGAAAGAAACATAAACCCAATTCAGCTCAAAAGTTAGTGGATAAAAAATGAAAACAACATGGAGAGAATTTAGAAACCGAAAACCTCCAATTTTAATCCTTAGTCAAGTAAATGCAAGTTAGATAGATGCAGCTATATTATGTCTTCCCAACATTCAATGTATTCCATTTCCAATGTATACAATGTGTGATAACATGCAATGCGTACATTTATAAATGTGTAAAATAAACAATTTGCAGACCAATTCAATCTACAAACTCAATTGACATTCATTTTGTATAAATAGAGACAAAAACAAAATGTTTTTAGTATATTTTCTTTCCAATTCAAATTTAATACCTGGAAAATACCACATTACGGCTACTATATGGAGCTTAGGAAAAAATATTTGTTTCCTATGCTCCTCAGCTCCATATAGTGACCATAATTATATTTTCCTGATATTACATTCAAGAAACATTAGGGCCTTTTTCTTGCTCTGGCATTAAGAACTGTTGGTTTCTGTTTATTTATCTGATTCTCAGCCAAACCAGTTTCTGGCTTATCTGCTACTTTACTGTTTTTCTCCTACGCTGTGTACCACTGGACCGGCCCGTCCTGATGTGTGGCTGAAGTGCTCCATTGTCACGGGCTTGGTGTCTCCACCCATTGCTCTCCTATTGGTTTAGACAGCATCACATGTCAGTGTGATGCAAGCCTGGTTCCGCCCTAACTGCGGTAACCCAGCAACCTCAGACACCGCCGGTAACCATGACAGCTGCGGGACGCCGCTCTTTTTAAGGCATAACGGAGAAGTTGGGAGAAGGGGACACCCAAGCAAAAAGCAAAACGAGGGAGCAACACATGATTTGTATATAACCTGTGGATACACATGTTCATAACCAGAGCGTGCCTGTGTTACCCAGTCGCAATAGACAAAACATATGTATCTAAAGCACATGAAAAAAATGAAATACCATGTTGGTGATATTGACATGTTATACATAGAAAGACATCAAGACACCTCCCTTACATGCATACCGACGTAGCAAAACGCTCAGGGACCATTTGGTCCAAGCGCATCCAACGCCCAAATACTGCAAGATACCCATCAAACTGTCTGACCGCACAGGATGCTTTAAATGCTATGATAGCAATGTGTGCAACGCACTTATCACAGGTGATACCTGTGATAAATATCACAGGTATCATCTGTGATAAGATACCTTCGACATGTGATGCCGTCTAAACCAATAGGAGAGCAATGGGTTGAGACACCAAGCCCGTGACAGTGGAGCACTTCAGACACACATCAGGACGGGCCGGTCCAGCGGTACACAGCGGTTTTCTCGCTGGGTCCATCGTTCTGCCAAAAGATTACTTGTAAGTTGTTCACTTCATATTCCAACCTGTGCTGATATCTAATACTTAGATCACTATTTGAAACATGTGGATACTCCAGATCATGTCTATGTTTACCATTGTATTTACCTTCTGTTATGTTTACTATTACATTTTGAACTTGTCCCTGGCGGGAATGTGACATCATAAATGACGTCACTCGGTCACTGGACTGCTGTTGATTGGCTCTTGTTTTGGGAGTGCTTGCTATTTATATGGGTTTGTGTTTGTACTTTTGCCACATGTCAAAGCTTGAGGAAGGGGATCCTGTGTGACCCCGTAACGGTTGTCGCATCTTTGTGACATGTCATTCTTTTCAATAAATAAGACTTTTGCTTTACGCTTATACTGGAGTGCGGGTGTCCCTGTTTTCTACTTTGTATGACGGTTGCCGTCCGTCGATCACAGCAGCACCCATTTTTTCTTTTCTTCATGGAGACAAGCGGTCAGGAGTGCGATGGGTTCATGGATCTTTGTCTCCACAAACACACAGGCACAGCAAGGCAAGCTACACCCCTCCCCCTTGCTCTCCACTTCTCCCTCCTTCCTCAC